CACCTTTACCGCGGAGACGTGCTCGTGGCACCCTGTGTAGTACTTTGTGCCCGTGGCGTGGATAAGCCTACTTGCTTTCCCGCCGCGCCTTTTTTTGCAACAGGCTGTACTGCGTTTGGTGTTGCCACAATAAAGTGTTGCGACTTGAGCAGTATCGTGTTTCCCGCCACGGCGACGGTTAACGCGTGCCCTGCGGCTCGCTAAGACCGGACCCACGCTGGTGGCCGTACTCCTTCGGGATACGTGTACACCACAAACTCAAGGACAAAAAAAAAAAGAACTTGTGCCTTCGTTTAATAAGTGCAAAAGTAAATAAATTAATAAAAGAGGCAAACAATTACATTTTCACGATACGGCAAAGATAGCCGCAGAAAATTTTTTATAATTAAAATGATGAAATTGGAGAGGTTGGTGCCATTATCGTGGCACTGGCTACTCATTTTTTCTTAGTAGACAAGATATGTGGAATGTTCAATTCACCACATCGAAGGTTCGCATCGGAGCATATGTTTTCGCATTCACAAACGTCAGATCGTGAATTCAAACATGCGATGGTAAAATCCCGTGTAATTATGACAAAAGTTTGTTCTTGGTTAAAGCAATGTTCATGTGGTAGTTAGACAAGAATAACTTATTAATCGAAGTCTAGCAGTAGAAAACCATAATTTCGATTTTTGTCGCGGCGGTCGCACTTTGATGCAGGCCCGAGTGCTGTGTGATGAAAAGCGTGTGAACTTGAGCTTCTTGGTGCATATTTAAAGTGAAAAAAAAAACTGCACAAAACACGGGACAGACGAAACATTATTCGGTAATGCCAGTGCACGTTACAAAACACCACGCTGTCGAGAATTCTGGAGCCTTTCACTATGGCGTGCCTCATATTTTTATCGTGGTTTCAGGGCATAACACCGCAGGTTTTCTTATTGTTAACAAGCATGGTTCTCGCTTGGGTAGAGGAGGATGGCACATGTAGATCTGTAGATTTTTTTTAAAGCAAAGGAACAACTCTCAACTCTAAGACGGCACATCTTATTACAGAGATGTAGATACATTCATATTTGAGGGGGGGGACATGGGTCTTTAAATTTTTTTTTTCTGTTTTTGGCTCAATCGTGACCAAACCTCACCATCTTGGACAGTTTTTCATGCTGATTTCAAATATGTAATTGTTTCTGAAATAGCTTAAGTGGATAAAAAGATATTAACATCTGTAATTTAATTAATTATGCACTTCATTGGGGGCTTTTTGGCAACTTAATCAAGCCAGATCCAAAAAATAAATGCATAGCCCCAATGCTGAGGGCTTTCTGTATGGGTTGATGCTATTTTTATTAATTTTTAGGCATTATATAGATAAGAAAACAGACCAGCACACACAATAGATATTCTGTTCAATTTTCGCTCATTACTATCCATAATTGTAATTAACAGTACGCTTCTAGAGTAATCAAAATAGCATCACCCCATAGGTAATGTTATTACAAATAAAATGATACCAAGTTTGTCATTCTTAATCAACAGTAACAAGAAAAACCCCTAAGGTTTAGTGTGGTGCACAAAAACATCGAACTGAGAAAAACGCATTTAAAGTTTCTAATAACTGTAACTTTTGCTAAATTGAAGCTAGAGCAATAAAAATAGCACCGTTGTATAGCTCTACATTATGTGAGTATGGCTGTACCAAATGTGTCAATGCACCTTCCAAATATTTGCCACAGCTCATTTAAAAACTGTGTACTGGCCGTTGAATCAGTATAAGGAACCCAGTCTACAACTTTGTGGCTGTTCTAGTGCACTGAAAACCAAAGGAAGACACATGTTATATATAAGAACATCGAAACACCATTTCAAGTAAAACACACATTTTTGTCCCAGACATCCTTACAATTCTACAGCATCTCCGGCGTTCTCGGCGGCGTGCAGGCCGCTCCCTTCTGCCGCACATTCCACGCTCGCTTTCGTTTCCTGCAGAAAGCTTGACGAGTGTTCTTCTTCAGGCGAGCCTCCCAAGCCATGCCGGCGAAATGCAGAAAGAAGTATACGTCGGCGAGCAGGTAGCAGACGAGATAACACGCACGAGAGCCGGCGCCGACTGAGCAAAACCAAACAAACAAAAAAAAAAGAGCGAGCAACCGTGGCTGCGCCGGCGCGCGCGCGCTCTAGCCAATCAGCGGTCCGGCAGACGGCTTCGCAAAACGGGGGAGGGCAGTCGTTGTGTTGGAGCTACGCCATTTTGAGAGCCCGCAAAACGCGCACAAAGGAACCAGCTTCAAAACAAGCCCAAGATGGCGGCGCGCGCGGGAAGTTCGAACAAATTTTCTGTTTTGCGGGTTGTTTTGCGACTCCCGTGATGGTTTGGAAATAGATTTTAACCTATTTTCTTATCGAATTTAGCGTTAATAATTTGAGGAGAGGTGCTTATAGGTTCAAACATTCGAAAAATGCGTTTTTCTCAAAATCGATTTTTTGGCCATTTTTTACTTTTCTAAGACCCGCGTCCCCGTTTAAGGGGGCAGACTGGTCTTAGACATTTTTTGTTTATTTCTTCAGTGATCTTGACAAAACTGCACAGGGTTATACAGTTTTTTCTGCCGATTTCAAATGTGTAATTAGTTTTCCTGTAACTCACTTTGTTGCTGAGATAACTTAAGTTCACTCCCTATTGTTTAAGGCCACCATAGAAAAAAAAGTGCTTAATTAAAAGTGCTATTTAGGATATGCCAACATAGATAATGACTATAGAGTGAAAGTATGGAAGAGGTTTTTGTTTTTAGACCTTTATTGGTTATTTTGCAGCAAAATGAACTATACATTTTCAAAAGCAGTTGGAATTGTGTTACTATTTTGATTAGTAATTAATTAAAAGGGCTTGTGCTCTAAATTTTGCTCCCATACTTGCATTCTACACACATACAGGTTTCCACTGCAAATAGAAATATTGTTGTACCTGCCCTAGCTGCAGAGATATTGAGGCCTCAAAATTGAATAGTCACAAATTTACTTTTTTGAGAAAAATGGAAAAAACTGAAAACGCACAGTTTCTTCAAAAAGCAACGATCATGGTGCGCGTGTTCATCACCCTTCCACCCCCCCCCCACCCTTGACTGCCAAGGATCGCTCGGAACAGCGGCTAGCAGTTTCGCGCGTCGTCATTCGAAAATGCGATGCCAAGTGCAGTGCGTGCCGATTTTTTGTCTTCGTAGTCACTCATTTTGCGCATTGTCATCGAACGCCGCCGGCAAGTGCATCACATGCCGGCTGCACTGTCCACGCTGCGGCGCACCCCACGGTCCATATATGGAGTGCTGTCAATAAGCTTTTGTGATGCGATTCAGACGTGCTTGGAGGCGTGCTTGATATCGCCATGAACGTCTATGAATGTTCCGAGGTTAATGAATTGCTGTAGTAGAGTTTCCGCCACCGGCTGTGTGATGATGCGTTTTACAGCAAGAGCGGCGAAAGAGCATGTATGAATAAGGCGCACGAATATTTATATGCCCGTTTTGTATCATTAATTATAGTGCTAGAAATTCCCGTGCCACCAGTCTTCTGCCCATAACTTTGTTATTGAGAAAGAAGGCATAGGCTGTCATGGTGTGAGCCATTTTTCTGGTGGTATCATGATGAAACTGCATATTTCCCTTTTCGAGACACTTATGAGTATGCATGCCAAATTTCATTGCTGTAGGTCAACAAATAAAAAAAGTTTTTTTTCAATACCACCTTCCCCCTTAAGGTGAATGCCCATCGCACTAAAATGTGAATGCCCTACAGAAAACAAGCTAGCATGAATGTCTGCGGGAAACTTCAGCAGAGGCTGGCTGAACTGCACAAGCTAAAGAACACAAATGCCGTGCTACGACATGCCAAGATTGGTGATGCTAATGCCGATATAGATAATGCCGAGAAGCTAAAGATAAAATCCTGCTTTAACCTTTAGTTGGCGGCTGTATAAACACTATCCACTTCATGAACACGAAGAAAAATAAAAAAAATGTATCTAGTGATAGGGACGTGTTGAGGTGGTTCGATACCCTTGCGTCATCTACGCCTGGATGCTCTCATACGAGCACGCATTTTAAAAGCATTGGTTGTGGAAAGTGGCGGTGCGGCTATCACAAGGATCATTTTTATTATATAGTGTGTACTTCGAAAAACTTACATTCATGTATACAGAATGTCTGTCCACCTTGCGTCTTGAATAATAAGCTGCTCAAATTCATATTGCAGTGTCTTGGCCATAACTACCTGTTATTTGGGCGGAAGGGAAAGAGGGAAAGACTGCCATGATGAGGGCCGCTCTTTCTTAGGATCCAGTAAATATGATTCAAGGATCAAATGCAATAAAGAGGGCTAGTTGTGTTAGTGATAGCATCAATACAAGAAAGCTTGTGAATTGTAACAGTATATGGTCTAATCAGATTATAATTTACTTTCTGTCATGTCTGTTACACCAGTTCGTACAGAAAAATTTGGTTTGAAATCCATGCAAGATGTTTTTTGTAGTCAGAAAAGGACTCATTGAATTCTGCAATTCATTAAGAGCAACATGTGCTATTTTTTAGAGCTTTCTTGTGCTTACTGTGAATGCCTAAGCTTGCACAAAAATGCATTGACTTTTTAAATGCATGGTCTGCACAAAATTAACTGTATGAGCCATAAAAAACTAACATCAGATTTGAAAAGTGGAGCTTGAACTCTATAACTGATGAAAGTTTCATTGAGCTGTCACAAATATTTGAAGAAAATGTTTCTCGAGGAACATCCCCCCTTAAAAGTACAGGCCCACGGAAGCAGTGACTTATTGCAACTTGTGGGGAGATCAGTATTCATAAGTGATTTGTCACTGCATTCGGTTGAGCTGAGCAGTACATGTATGCATCGCATGCAGTAATCATCGCATGCAGTAATCATGTGGTGCTTCTTCTTGCATCTCAGCAGTGTCGTGCATGTACCATAAGCTGTAACGATGTCTCAAATATACTGCTCGACTCTTGCAGGACGAAGATGAGTACATGCGTCGCGGTCGGCAGCGCCAGGTAGTCGACATTGAGATCAATTTTGCCGATCAACGGCGGGGCCGTGGGGGTCGCGGAGGCCGGGGCATGGGTCGTGGAGGCCCGGGCCGAGGCAGCTTCGGCGGGGGACCTCGTGGACCACCCCGTGAAGGAGGCGAGCGGCCACCACGAGGCGGATATCGTGGCGGTGGTGCCGGTGCTGGGGGCGAACCACCCAAGCAGTCTGCACCCAAGGTGGACGACTGGAACGACTTCCCTTCGCTCGTGGCCGCCTGAGCTGGCATCTTGTGCGCCACTTGCTTCACGAGCAATTGCCTGGAGGTTGTTTTGTGTGTGGCTACACTATGGACTTCCCCCTCCTTTGCCTTGTTTTTCATGCGTGTGTGCTGTGAGAGCCCTGCTATCCCAACTTGGGAGGAAGTTGCCATGCCCGCTCTTCTCCTTGAAGGACTATGGACATGTGTGCGTGGCGGCAGCAAGAACGTCCGAGGTGCCACTTCTCCCTCATATGATCATGCCTGTCTGCCTTGCTGCTTTTCAAAAAGTTGATCTTGTTTCCATTTTGTAATTGTGAAGTGGCTTGTTCGTGTGTGAAGACCCTTGTCAAAACTCAAGGCCCATGGCTGCTGTGAAACAGTTCTTAGGTTGTCCTCTCCTTGAATGGGCTTTTTTTTTTCTGCTGATGGGTTGAGTGGTTGCCTATGGCCAAGACAAGTGTAGTACAAATTCTATATTTTTTTTCCCTAAAGGCAAGTTCCACCCAGCACTTCGTTCATAATGGGATATTTTTCTTCGTCCACTGAAGATGTGATGGTTTCAAAATTTCTCTTGGTCACCCGATTTTGAATGTCAGATAATCATTATTTTTCTTTGTTGGCTTGTGGATCTTAGCCGCAGTGTGATGTTAATCTCTAAGGCGTTGATTGTTGAAACAAAATTGTGCTTAGTAGTAGCACATTGAATGCCTTTGGTTAGTGTGCTGTTCAGGCATGCTGTCATGCCACTTCAGTGTTGATCTTATTGTGGGTATCGCCTAACAACTCCACAGAAGTGCTGGTCGTGTGGTATGTATGGTAATGTTGTAGGCCGTCGTTGCTGGCCAACAGCAGTACTTCTCGAGGTGTTCATGGTGTTTGGAGCTTGTCCGTCCCACAAAATTCTGCGCTGTCTTGATTTCTGCAGTAAGCAAAGTAGCCCACACTTCAGCTCCCGACAATGGTTCCGGTCGGCAAGCTGTACTGCAGCAGCGGGGTGTCTTTTGCAGAGCAATCCTCCAGGCTTGCATTAGTGGTGCGTGAACCTCACTTCTCCACTACTGTTAAATGATGTGACACGAACACGTAGACCTTCAGTTTCACTGTTGTGTGCTCGCAAATGGCTGGTGATGAATCACATTGTTTATTTTTTTTGCCCCTCAACCTCGAAATTTCGGTTTACAATTTACAATGGAAAGGTGGAAGAAGTCGCACGACATGTGTGCATGTGTTGTTGGTGTAGCAAGACCTCTTTATTTTTGCACCTGTACAACCTATTTCACAAGCTCGAAGTGTAATTTTATGCACATGCCTAGTAATGAAGATGGGAGTGCTGAGGTCGCAGACACTTGTGCATCATTTGTAGAGGCTTCGTAAAATTGCCACAAAATAGCGTTGGACTGCTTTGAGAGAAGTGGTTAATGTAAGCATACAAAGTCTACATATACACACGAGAAGCTGTATGTATGGTGTGAAAAATAGAAGTGCAAGGCAGGAAACAAGAAGGCATGGTGTGTGTGTGTGTGTGTCTCTGGTTGCCATGTAGCCTTGTATTTTTTCTGGGGCACTTGAGGGGGCTTTTTTTTTCTGTACCCTACAGGGTTGCAACTGATGGGGAATCATGTCGTTGAATAAACGTCATAGACAGTTACATATGGTGGCAGTGTGATTTCTTTAGTGTTGCAATACTGCAGGCCACAACTCTCTGCTATGGTGAGGAATTATTCCCCCACACCTTGCTTACCAGCATTGCCATTCGAGGAGCAACAACGCCCAGAGCCTGCAGCAGGACTGTTTTAGGTTTGACCAGCACTGTTGCGTGGCATTTAGTAATGCTGTGAAGATTGTGCATCCCAGTTTGTCAAGTCGGCTATATCAAATCTGGGATAGTGTGCATTGCTAGCTGCAGAAAGTCAAGTCTCTAGGCCTAACTAGAAAATCTGTGTAAGCAAATCTGCAACATCAATTTTCTTTTGGTGCGTGGTTCACATCTTTTTGTTTTATAGATGAGTGATACTGCTGCTGTGACAGCCTAGGCGACGGTTCTTGGCTTTTTCAACGCATTCACCCACTGCTAGGGGTTTCTGCCGTCCCAGCTTGAACCTTACGATTGTTTCATCTCGTGACGTAAACCAACGTTCCCAGAACCAGGTCAGTTTCGCAGCTTTGCGCGCGCGCTGACACAAGCGGCTGACGTGTGACCTAATGGCACTGCTGTTCCGTTTTGCTTCACATGTTGTGCCATGCGTGTTGCCACTCGGACAGGACAGCACGTTTTTGGCACTCGCTTGCTTGGCGCCATTGTTTAGTTAATTGTCTCTTACAAAAAAATCCTAACTTGTGGCGAGGGGCGCCAATAAACAGTGTTTTCTTGTTTTGCACCGGGCTGCAAAAGTGTGTACAGAAATAGCACCGATCACGCTTCCTTTGATCCAACCCGAAATCCTGATGAGTTTTAAGAATTGGGGGGGCCCTTTAGATTCACCTTTAAAAGTAGAAGGTGATAAGCGATATCCTGTACCAAGTGCATAAAATATTTTCAGATTTTCTATGCACCCACTATGTAGCCTGAAGGGAATAGGCGCAGTAACGTGTGTGCCTCTTGTAGTGGGTGACCAGCTTTAAACCATCAAGCCATTAAGAATATCGCATGTTCCTATGGCAGTGTACAACACCACGCGTTATTACTACAATTCATGTTGTACTGTGAAGCACCTATACAGGCTGCATGTGATTGTTATTTACTTTCGCAGTGTTTCCAAGCAGAGGAGATTATTTTCACTGTATGCACAAGCAGACGCATGCCTTGTATCAAAAGAGCCTGTACAAATACTTGGTTGCTGTAATCATGTCCACAGTAGTATTGAGATAACTAAATAACGTCCTGGGCCAAGACGTGCGAAAAAGAGTGAAGAGACAGAGGGGATCTGTAGAACCATTTTTCATCACACATGAGGACATTGCCTGTGGAAACGTGGCTCAAACAAAGGCACATCTATACCATGAACGCATGAAGCTCCATTTCGGGGAGGGCACCCGCTTGAAATGGTCATTTCTTCCTCTATACCATGGCGAAAAAAATTTCGGGAGGGAGATGGGGCACTGGCAGGTGTGCCTCCCCGGTATGGACGCAAATCGCACTCTGTTCAACAAACTCGAAACGATTGAACACGCCATCACTGACTTCTGTGATCCAATATTTTTTTGGATGTCGTACAAAGAACCTTGAAGAAAGGTCTACGGATAACACGTCATGGAATACGTTATCTATAAATACCGAATGGGGGTGGGGTTCCATATGTTATCTTGTAACCGGGCCTTTGCAGTTTCTGGATAACACGCATGGTTATGAGGCTTATAGAAGATCTTAAAGCAAAATATTTTTCTTTTGATGTCTTACAAAGAACCCTAAAGAGAGATCTACTGAAACACCTCATGGAATACATTATCTATAAATACAGAATGGGGGTGGTGTTCCATTTGATATATTCTTACTGGGTTTTTACAGTCTTTGGATAACATGCCATGAGGCTTGTAGATCCTCAAGCAAAATCTGCACGAAAAAATGTTCCTGAATGTGCAACACATGTGTGCGGGATATATCGAACGTTGAATGAACCTTCACTTAGTATTAAGGTGTTTGATGAACCAGTGAACATGAAGTATTTTTAAACCATCACAATGGTGGAGTGGACAAATGTGGTTTTTATGGAAATAAATTTCGTAATTTTGAAATAAAAATGTTTTAAAAAACGGGTGTGTGGTATAACACCCGCTTGTTGCACAAACGCCCTGGGTTGTATCCCCACAGTAACCCACAGTTTTTATTTTATTTGAATATTTCTGAATATTTAGAGCTAGTCAAGATAATTTGTCGCTCACAACCAACTATGCCAATGCCAGAATTTATGCAATACGAGCTCTTTAACGCTGTTACATGAAAATGGATGCTGAGCCGCAAGAATAGGCGGCTCACTCACAAATCCAAGGTATAGGAAAGACATTTTGAGGTGGACGATATTGTAAAATATTATTCTCACACTGCTGTAGCGCCCATCCTTGCTCTCTCATTCCTGTGAACACTGTCAGCTATGCGCAGTCTGCCCAGCTTTCATAGTTTTAAAACAAGGAACATTTGCTACAAGAATGGATCAGCCAACTCCAAGCGAACGTTGACACACTAAAACTATGCGACAAAGAAGTATGGCGTCCCATGCAGTCCTTTACCTAGGAATTATCAATGAAAATTTAACAAACAAATAAATAAATGCTCGTGCACACGATTGTCACTCCGGTGGAAACTTTGTTGAGTGCAATAAAGCAAAATAGTGGCACTTCGACTTCACCAGTGAACATGGCCAGTTTAAGCGACAACGGCTTTTACTTTATAGAAGTGACTTCTTCAAGAAGCTCGACAACATCTTCCCGAAGAATGCTCTTATGCTTGTGGCGGAAATCCTTCATCTTGACGTCCCAAAGAAGGGGCCGTTTCACTACGTCTGCAATGGGCACATCGCTGAAGGCAGCGCGAGACATTTCTGAGCCGGAAAGGGACGGATGCCGTCTGCTACCGAGTCGGAGCAAATTGTTCTGTGAAGCGAGTAACTCTGACCACGGCCAGTCTGGAGGCGCGCGCTCCCTTTCCTTACGGCCTGAGCAGCCACGGGGAGTACACGGGGAGCCCCCAAAGCCCATTGCGCCGCATGCGCTTTGTTTTGTTAACTAGCTGTGCCCGGCCAATTTCTCATGCTAATTACTTCTTCCGATTGTAGGAAGCCATGAAGCAAGTACATGTGTGGGGACGCTGTGGCTTTCTCCGCACTCGGAAAAAGAAGACGCTCACGCAGCGCTACTAGCCACAACAATCTTTATTTTTTAAGACCTGACCACCTTATTTTCGAAGGAGGCCTGTGAAAAGGGAGTGTCTTGTGAAACTGGCGAGGAGCCTCACTAGAAAGCACGTATGCCGGTCTAACCTGGAAAAGATGAATGTAATGCGTGCAGTGCAAGTATTCTCGCTCCAAGTCATTGGCGCAGTGGAACATCTGCGAAACTTGGGGGGCATCTCCTCTCTCGTCCTATTCAAGGATGCAGCATCCACAATCAACTTCATGAAAGCCATAAAGAGATGGTTCGACATTCACAACACTACGCACAGTGGAAATGACTGCAAACTTCCCATCCTGAAGCAGGACGACAGCCGATTGCTGTGGCTGGAAAGTGAATTTTCAGGCCACATTAAGCGCATCCAGGATCTTTCTGTCGCCGCTGGTGTTGGAAACTTTACAGACGAGATGTACAATGCCCTGCTTTTCACCACAAAGTCCACAGTGGAAAAAGTATGATTTCTTCTGAGAAAAGGAGTAAACTATGTGCTCGCGAAGAAATTTAACAGTGATCCCATAGAGGCATAATTTAGAAAACTGAGGGTCATGTGCGGGGCAATGACGCGCTAGACGCAAGAGCCGTCGCAGCGACTTTGACCCACATTGTCAAGGAAAAGACGCCACCTTCTAAAGACACGGGCATTCGCGACGAAAACATTGAAGGAGCGGCGGTGTCTATTCCGGAAGATGTTATTGAGGAATTTGAAGCTCTGCGAGAACCTTTTCGCAGACCACCGACATCAGTCGCCTATTCAGGCTTGGTGTATGTAGGTGGTTACATTGCCAAGCTCATCAGTGATGTCGGTTGCGAAGCTTGCGCCATGCTAGTGACGACAAATAAAACTAACAGTCCTTTGTATCAACTTCTCCGTCAGCAAGAAGCCTATGATCAACACTACCCGAAACCGGAGTTACTATAAATGCTGAACACAAATGTGACGTTATTCGATAAAGCAGTCAAATACCTTCCTCGAACGAAGATCCTCGAGACTCTGCTATTGACTATTGAGCCATAACTTGAAGATTCATCACTTCTGGAATGTCCGGAACGTGTGGACAAGAGTCACGCCAGAGTGCTGGCTCATATTCTGAAAAGTTTCTCCGGATTCTTCTAGTAAACTACACAAAAAGGTTAACAGATCAGAATGACAGGCCTTCTGGTTTCATTCACAAGCCCCCGCGGAAGCATTTCAGGCTGTGACAGATGTGACTACTTTAAACTGTGATTGTCACTTCAGTGTTTTACCAGCAGTGCTTTTTTTTTCAGTTCTCCATGCGCATATTGTTGCAGTACCAAGGAGAACATTCTGTTTCCCATTGAAAGGATTCTCTGAATGTTTTTTTATGGTTACTCTTCGTCTACGGTGTGGCCGTCCCCATTATGCAGTGACTTTCACCTTTTTGAAGTATTTATTTCAATATTAAAGCACGATTTAGGATGCCTTCAACAAAAAAAGTGCAATTTTGCTATTTTCAAATACAGCGACGGCTGGCATGTGCATTTGAAATAAACATTTCCAAAACCATAACTAAACCATTTGCTCAACCAAGTGCAATATTCATCCTCTTACTTATTCTCAAAGTTAGAGGAAACTAAAGAAAAGGCTTTGTTGTAACCGCGTCGATGCTCTGCCGATCAACAGAAGCGGTCGTATGAGCGGCCTGCACCACCACTTCTGAAGAGCGGAATTGACCAGAGATAAATATACTTGCTACCATGTTTATATCGCATTGGTATCATGAATACCTTAGAGTAACTTCAGAAAG